AGGGGCACTGAAATGACACATCCCTGAAAATGACTCACAGTCACGTTTCACATGGCACTGGATGTTAGTTGGACACAATATCGTGCAAAACTCACCAGCTAAAGAAATAGGCACAGGTTTTAGGATGAAAATGTTTGCCAGCTGTTTTCATACCCAAAGCACACAAATTGTTCCAATTCTCTAAAAAAAAACCCTGTTAGCAAATGTCTGCCAATAAATGCAGAGGATTAATTAAGATTCACCTCTTGGCCATCCAAGGCTCAACAAACAGAGTCCCTGTGGGGCAGCAGAGACCCTACATGGGCAGTCACCCCCGAGTTAAATGTGTGGGGCAGAAGTGCCAGGCTGGCAGCAGCAGAAAGCTGCAGCTGGCAGGCAAACAGGGAAGGAATCGATTCCTTTGTTACCTCCTGCAGGAAAGCCAACACCAAATAATGCCTGCAGGATTCACAGGGAGCACCCAGCAGTGCCACCCAGCCACACCTGGGCAGGAGGGATCAGCTCAGTGCCTGCACTGCTGGGGAAGGAACCAAATCAATGGCAATCGAGGAGCTGCTGTTCATTTTCATGGTTCTGCTAAAGAATTGATTTACCCTGGGGTTCACACACAGGCTCTGTAACTCCTGCTGAATTCAAGCTGCTTGTGGAGCAGTAAGGAATGCTCTTATTTCTGTCAGTATTGATTTGGAAGCAGAAGTTAAATCATTTCAATTTCAGAATAGTAAGACCTTCTCCTTTAGCTTCAGACCATTCCTTCCTGGCAAAACTGATGCAGAGTATTCATGAATAGATTAATAAAACATATTTTAACATTTAGAAATTAAAGATAAGTCATTAGCAGCAGTTAGAAAAACAGAAGTGGGTTAGAGAGAAAGGTAAACACAATCAGCTCTCTACCAGCCACTTTTCATCATTTTTTCAAAAGGATTTGTTAACAACCAAAACTTCAGAGCATGAAATTAAACCAAATACCACTGAGGAAGGCTTCACAGACAGCTGGCATCTTTATTTCTTCTGTTGCTCTCTTATGGAAAACAGATCGCCAGTAGGGATCAGAGACACAGGGCAGAACTGAAATTGTGCTATATCCCTTCTTCCTTTTCCCCAGAAAATTCAGCTCAGCAAGTGAGAACAGCTCAGTCAGCACTGCTCATTGAGCTCTCTGAGCTGTGCCACATCTGCCATGTGCACTTGCTTGCATTTCAAGCCCTGAAAATGAGACCTAAGTAGGGTTCTGTATATTAAAAAAGCCCAAGTTAAAAGGGCAAATAAAAATTTCAGAAGCTTTGTGTGTGTGTGTTGAAGCTTCAGTAAAAGCAAAAGCCACCTCTTTAGCTGTATTTTAAGATTTTAAACCCATCTGCTTTCCTTCATCACTAGTTGGGTTTTTTCCCAACAGAACTGCCCTCAGCTGACAGCAAACCATGTCCTGGCTGACCTTTCCTCAAGATTGCTACTGCTGCCTAAGAATTTTAGGAGGAATGAATGTGCATGCAAACCCAGCTTGAATACAGGGTCAGTAACACCTCCAAAAAACTGCATTAGAACAATCAGCAATACAGAGCTCCCTAACAAAGTCCTGAGCGTGACATTCCAAACATTCAGCTCTAAAACATGGGCTAGGAGTATTCCTGAGCCTGCAGTGGTACTGGAGTGGTCATCTGGAGGCAAGAAAACAAACCTGAGCCACAAAGGGGCACATTCAGCTCACCTGCTTTTTGATTCTCCAAAGCAAAAGAGATTTCATATCATTTTCATGCTTCAAAGACAGACAGATTATTGTCTTCTTATCTCCATATAAAAGGAAGAGTAATTTTATGAGTAAGGGTTCCTAATAAAAACTATCAGAGTTGTAAACACCTTTAATGTAAGTTATCATTCTACAGGCAAGTTTTAAAGTAACAGTAGTCCTGAAATTGCACTTTTAATAGCTGTCATTAAAACACTTAATTGCACGTTTGTGATTATGTTATTATTACTGGGGTGGAATTGCTCTCTAGAGCAGCTCTTATACAATAGGGCACCATCTCCACTGCCTGTACAAACAAACCCTTTAGAGTTCCAGTGGTGAGCACCTCACTTGTTATTATTGATAGTTTTCATCAAGCACTTGTTAGAAAACTAGAAAATGTTCTTCCCCAAAGATCTCAAAGTACATTTGATTTAACATACATAAAACTTCACTTTAACAACCACTGAGACAACTCCCATGGCCACTGGTTTAGTAGATAAATTACACCTGGAATTTGAACAGGTGAATTAAAAAAACAGCCTTGGAGTTCAGTTTTCCTGGCAATCCATCTCTCTGAATTCTGCCAAGGAGCACAGCACTGCTGCTGCTGGTGCCACACAGATCTGTCCTGTTTCTGCAGAAAACGCTGCAAATACAGGACTCCACATGGCTGAGCTTTCTGGATGTCCAGCCCACTGCCTCAGAACTGTTTCTTACCAAAATTCTGGTAGTCTCAAACTACAGGACAACATGCAAAGGTACAGCTCCTTGTTAATATCTCCACCCTGTTCTGTTACACAGAATAGGAGATATCAGACCCAGGGAGCAGATCATTTGAACATTGCTATTTTAGTTATCTTATTCTCACTTTGGTGTTAAAAATCTGCAGTTCTGCTCAGCAATCTCATCCTGCTATGTAAATCTTTTTAAACAAAATGCCTTATTCAAAGCTTACTATTGTTAGCTGATATCAAATCAGTGTAGCAAATTGCCATTGGAGTATCTTGATCTAATTATCTTCTGGAAAGAATCGAAATAGAACTGAAGAAAATTCAGATAATGGAACAGGCAAAACAAGAAAGGGAAAGGAGGAGCATAAACAAAAGATAAAAGAAGAACAGAGAATAAAGGATAACACTCTGAGATACAAAAAATATGATTAAGTGATACTGAAATTGTGAGGGTATGTGCAGAGACATTCCACAACACCTCAGGGATTTAAAATGTTCCCATCACCTACTGCAGAATATGAGATTACATCATTCACAGGGATGTGAAAATGGTGTCTTTGGGGGAAATCAAACAATGGGGCTGAACTGAAATCTCTGAGCAGCCAATGCTCATGGATACCCTTGATACAGATGAAGCCAATGGAGCCAAAAGCTTCCCCTACTATGGGTCTGCCTGTGACTGACAGCCCTGCACAGCACTCAGCAATACAGGGGAATTTAACTGGGGGACAATGCTACAAACAGGATGAATATTCCAAGGATATAGGAAACACATCTTCTTTAATTTGGATAACATTCAGTACTGTGGGCTCTTAACAATTGTGTTACAATTCCATGTCTTTCAAGATAAAGGGAATAAGAGCCTCCTTCCATTTATTTATAATGTCTATTTTTATAAAGGTACACCAACTACAGGTTTTTTTTTTCATGCACTATCCCATGCAACTTGCCTCAACATTCTGAGGATCCCAACGTTTAATGTAGAATTCTGTAAATATACCAAAATTAATTACAAAGATTTTGCTACACTTCTCAGTACAAATTCTTTCCCCAAAAAGCCCAGTCCTAAGGAGAAGAGGAATATCTTTCCTGTCTGTAAGTACACACTTAGAATCCTGTAGTGCTGGAATTAGAAGGGATGTGTGAATACGAGCAGTGTCAAAATACAAAGGATACTGAATGAAAACCCACACCTCTGTAAAGGGAAACAACTCATTGTAATTTGCACCTCTTTTGCAAGCATAGCCCTTACAAATAGCTCATTGCAAAGAAACCCATCCAAAATAAAAATACAGCGAATTCACTCCACAAACTGCAGCTACACAACCCAGAGAGGCAATTCTAAAGTCCTAGGGTGTGGCTTAGTTCTCCTGTTAATAACAAGCTGCTAGTAACAGGATATAAAGCCGCTTTCAGAATCATTTTTCTCAGAGGGACACGAACATTGACCCGGGGAGCATCCGTGTGTCACAGAGCAGCATCAGGGCACTTCTGATTCACAAACTTAACAACCCAGATGTCTCTCCCTGCTGATTTCCCTGGCCCAAGCTGCCAAGGGAAGCAGACTATAGCCAGCAGCCTCAGAGGAAGGAACCAGCCTCCTTTCAGGCAGATAAAGGTTGGCTTGAAACAGAAGCCAACAATATTCCTGGGCCTAATCAAAGACTTTTTTCACTACTTTTTACAGTCATTTTCTTTGTACTCCTGGCACCATCTTTGTTAGGAAGATTTATTGTCTGCTTTTTAAAATTTATCAGTTTGCAACGGCCACCAGATGAAGGGATCTCTTAAATCACTCTGTATGGGGAGAGTGTGAACATGTGTCTTACAGTCAGAGCTTTAAACTCTCCCATTCTGGAAAAACTCTTACAGACATCAACAATGTGAGGAGCATTTTTGAGACGTTTATACTCCAGACATGCTGTTTACAAGGTGCTCTATATTTTGAAGTTATTGAATTGCAATTATTCAAATTGACTGTATCTGTTAAAGACTAAAAAGGAGATTTTTAAAAAATATTTGAGAAATTAAGAGAGTAACAGATTTATTTGTTGATTGATAATACCTGATGAAATAAAGGTTTCAGACTAGAATGTTAAACATTGCTATAATTGTTACCACTCTAATTTCTTTTAAAAAGGTCGATTTACTCAACTATTTAAGTTACAAATCCAAGCAACTGTTGCATCATCTTACAGGACTGGGATCACTGTTGAATATCAGGGCAGGATAATAGGATAGATAAAAGTTCTCTGAAAGAGAAAGCACCAGAACCAGCAGCAAGGTGGGGTTGGTCAGCCCTTCATTTGAATGTAAATGTAATTATGAGGCAGGCAGTTGGGCTGACGTCAGACAAGATCTTGGTAAACCATTACCACCAGCACCTGGTAACACAGTTGATAATAAAAGAGGATGAAGTAGAAGATTCCAAGCACAGTGGCATTATTAGAGAAAACCAAACACAAATATTTTTGAGCAGTAAAAGAAGACGCTGAGGACCAAGATGTTGTGACGCCGTGTTTACAGTTGGGACAGCCATGTACGTGAGCTCGCTCTTGGAGAAGGAGCCCAGCATGTACCCAGGACCTGCCAGGGCCAACAACAGCCTGCCCGTGCAGAACTTCGTGTCTGCCCCAGCCTACTCCGACTACATGGGATACCACCCCGTGGCAGCCCTGGACAGCCACGGGCAGCCGGCGCCCGCCTGGGGCTCCCACTACGGCCCCCAGCGCGAGGACTGGGGCGCCTACGGCCCAGGCCCTTCCAGCGCCGCGCCCGCTGCCCACATCAATGGCTCGTCCCCTGGCCAGGGCTCCTACAGCTCTGCTGACTACAGCTCCCTGCACCCCGCTGCTGCTGCTGCGCCCTTACCTCCTGTAGATACAATCCATGCCCAGCAAATCTCTCCCAACAGCCAAAGGCACAGCTCTTATGAGTGGATGAGGAAAACCGTACAAACCAACACTGCTGGTGAGTGCAAATTCAACTTCCAACCTCAGAAAGCATCTTCTGCTATCACTGAGCTTAGAAATAATTAACTTTACTTGAAGCACATAGGTTGATGGGTCATTTATGACATTTATTTAGCCCACTGCTGTTTAATGCAGTTTGAACTAAATTTGTGCTAGTTTCACTTTCTCCCATAAAGGCTTTCTGTGGTTGCTGTAGTGGAGTGGTTGATGTGGTGTCAGCTCCAGGAATCCCTGTTGGAACACTCTGTAAAGCATTTTGTGTGATAAACATGATAATCATGTTAAAGTGATGATAATCATGGAAGTGTTATGGAGCAATGCAGCAACATTTAACACTTACACACAGAAATACTACATAGTTATTTTGTGCTGCAGGGAAGATATCAACATAGAATCAGGTTTATCTTTTTACACCTTATAAACTTCTCAATAATTATAAAGAAAACCAGGTGCTCTGATCTAACTGCAGTGATTATGTAATTTTCTGCAATTTTCCTGTGTTTCATATTTTTCTGCCTAGATTTATTAGGTGAGCACAAATATTCCTAGAGAAGCAATCTGACTCAAACAATCAGCATAGACTATTTTGTTTGCAGATCACATAATTCCTTGGTTAAGCTTCCTTTTCATTTAATTTCACATCAGTGCCATAATTCTTCAGCTTCCACATTTACACAATTCAAAATCTCTTTTCTGCAAGTGGCACTCACTGATGTGCCTGTTCTTGCCACAAGCTGCCTGCCAGATGAACATTTCCATGTATATTCCCAAGGTGGAAACTGGGTGTAGCAAGGTTTGCTGAATCTGTGGTTCAGGTTAAAAGTAATAAGTGTGTGTTAGGGAGCATCAAAGAAATGCTCAAAAAAAAGCAGAGCAATTACAATTGGAGCAGTCTTAGAAAACACAGAAAATCTGCACTGCTGCTGCAGACAGAATCCTCCTTCCAATGGTTATTACTGAGGAGCAAAATTAGCCTGGTAATTGTTTCTTAATTATAAAGCAGACACACATTGTTTTGCCTCTGTTACTAAATATAAAATGCCTGGTGAACATTAGGATATCACAGTGCTCTTCTGCCACTTGGAGCCTCTACAGAGGCCTTCAAAGCCAGGCAGAGTCAGTCTGCTGTCCCCCTTCTGTATACTCATGTAAATCCCAGTAACTTCATTAATATCTTTGGAGATTGCCAGGTGTAGAAGTGATGCAAGACTTGAGTGTAGATCAAATTCAGCTGAGACTACTGAATGTCAATGAGGCAGCCCTGGCTGTGCCATGTTGGCACAGAATTTTCAATGTGTGGCATTTTTGAAGAATAACGTTCTTAAACACACTTAAAAATCTAAATCCTTGCTTTACACTTATTGAACAGCCTTGGAAGACCCTGAAAGGTTTCTCATACACTTGTCCAAAGTTATAGAATATATTTGCAATTCAGAGGCACTGTTTTGGATCTAAATTCATCTCTAGTCTCAAAAGTGCTTACATAGGATTTACTCACATTCTGAAATACTTTAAGAACCACTCAGGACAGGTGGAACAGAGCCCATCAATAGCTGCATGTCCTGAGGCTGTGCATTCCTAGAACCCAATCCTTTGAAGTGTTAAAAACAGCCAGGACTTCACAGAAGTGAGCTCAAGGCATCAACCCATCTTAAAAAAAGAGATCGTGAGAGTGAAGCACAAATGTGGTAATTGTGCAAAATAAGAAAAGTACCAAAGACATTTAGCTTTTCAGTAGTGTTAAAAAAAACAAACTGGAAATTTTAATCTTGTCACAGAAAAAATTGTGATAAATGGAAGAGAATTCAAATAAATGACAAAGCTAAAATTATGCATGTAACTGCTCTGTACCACCTTATCAGTGTTTTGTCTAGAAGAAAACTGACTTGATGCCATTATAACCCCTCTTTGAAACACACTTGCTGTTTTTCCTTATTGCCATAATGTTATTTGGGTTATCAAAGTAGCTACTGGTTCCTCTCCTTCAATGTTATCACTGCTTAATGAAGTTTAAAATCCCAGAATGACAGCCCTAAACTCTACCAATACATTTCTGTGCATAAACATGTGGATGTCCTTAACTCCACCAGGGTGTACACACATCAGTGTGTGTGAGCAGAATGGAGTAACAGAAACCACAACACATCCCATTAGATGAGAGAGCCTCTTGAAATACTGTGCTAAACACAGTGGGAATTATTTTGAGTGAGGAGATGTCAGTGGGAATTTTTCCTCTCTAGACTCTATTAAATACACTACATTCTGATTCAATACTCTTATTTAGCATTTGATACAAAACAAAATTAAATTGCAGGTAAAGTGAAACAAAAATTTACCTGATCAAGTCAATCTTCAGGATGAAACAAGATCAAAGCCAGAAGTACTCTGTCCTTTCAACAGATAAAATGTGATTTGAAATGCAACATCCTCTGACTAAAGGACCATAACTGTATGTTCAGAATCAACCCTTGTTTTACTTCAAACACAAAAGCATTGCAAATATACAAGGCAATAAGATATTTTTAGAAAATCAAACATGGAAAGTGGGCTTGGTAAAGAGCTCTTCCCAGTCAGGCCCTCCAAGTGAGGAAAAGAACATCTAAGGAATTCCTGATAGTCTGATCCTGGTTTTACTGAAAATGTACGATAAAATCCGCCATCCACTTCAGTTATGCTGGAGCAGAACTTCCAATTATCTTCTAAACTCTGTGTAATCAACAGAGTAAGATGTCTATTTTCTGAGAGCAAGAGAACCTTCAATGTGTAAAACTTACTGAAAAGGTATCTAAAGGGCTTAGAAAAAGGTTTTAAAACTTCATATGACACTTCATCTGGGAGTGACCCGTCTCAGAAAGAGAAGGGTCTTTAACAGGACTAAATAAAAGATAAACATGATTTTCATATGTTACAAGCTCAGCCACAGGATTTTTTTCAAAGTATAGCCAAGACAGTTTATGTCTTTGTTTAAACAAGCTGTGATGTACAAGTAATTCAGATTACAGAACAGCAGAAACACGGCCAGAAAGCAAAACAGAATAGCAGGAAAAAAGGCCAGGCCCCTGCTTTAATGCTAATTTATTTTTCTTTGTAAATTAGTTGTGACATCTATTTTCCACTGGCCTACATTGTCTGAGGTTTTGAGGCCTATCTGTCATATTGAGGCAACAGACCCTTTTAACACTTCTCTTTGCTTTGATATGCAGTCTTGTCTCTTCCTTCTCCCTCCTTTCTTCAGGAGTTATATTGCCGGAAAGGGTGATGATTTTCACAGCAAATAAAGAGGCCTTCTCCCAGCTTTATTGTCTTCAGAAGAAATACTCTGTGAATTTTATGACCAAGGGGAATGGGGAAAACTACTCCTTTTCTCCACCCCCTCAAATCATGGTTATATTTGCTGATTATAGTGAGGCCGGAATAACCTTGTTGAATTTTAACTTGTTTTCAAAGATTCCCTCTAAGCCCTCAGTTTACAAGGAACCTGAATACCTATACTATTGTTAGCACTAGAACTATCACTGAGGGCAAATATTTCAAAGCCAATGATTTGTACCATGAAAAAAAGTAAACTCAGTTGAATGATTTAGTCCTGCAAATTTAGGCAGGAAAATCTTCTATGCTGGAAGTTGAAGTGGCAGAGGATTTGGGAAAATATCCCTAATTATGCTTATTTCAGCTATGTCTACCTTCAGATAAAAATATCCCAGTCTGTCCTCGGAGTCGGTCCAAAAGTAAAGAGAACTGAGGAAAAAATATTCCTTCATCTATTTCTGTCCCTTTTTCTTCTGCTAAGATGAAAGCGTCTGACATTTGTTTAGGGCTTGTAAATTCCAAACCAATTGGCTTGTGTTTCTGAATGTGAAAGGGGTTCTTGATAAGATCTCCTTGTCGCTCCTTTGTGTGGCGTGTGCTTCATCTTAACACCTCAATGGATTTTAGGGAACCACTTTAAAGGAGTCTTTGTCCTACAGTTTGTCCCAGAAAACTCACATCAAAAAAAACTGGGAAGATCAGAAGAAAAAAGGAAAACTATCTAGTTGGTTGTTGAAAGTGCAAAGGAGAACAAATAAGTTGAAAACTGATCTCTCTGGATTATTATTACATGAAGAATTGCTTAAAAATTATATTAAATGAGAGATACATTCTAAACATTTAATAATGTTTCTCCTAACAGTATTTATCCAATATATCTAAGAATATTTCTTTTATACATTAGAGAGAGGATGATCCTCTAATCCTTTTACAAGATTTTATTGCCTCATCTTACAAATTGTCAAGTACCTCCAACTGTAAAGGGAAGCCCAGCACAGAGCACCCTCAGGGATATCCTACAGGCACTCAGCACCTTGCAAGACTGGACCTTTTTGAAAAAGTACATTAAATTATTATTGAACTTCTGAATTTATCCTATGGCAACAAGAAAGTAAAAACATTTCAACATTTCTAGTAGGACACCTTTGTGCTACAGAAGCAATCTTTAGAAACTCAGATAAAGAAATAGGCCACGGTACAACTGCACAAATTGTGACTGAAGCTCAGTCTTGAAATGCTGGGTATTTATGCTCTCAGAGACACAGAAGTCACTTGACTGAGCACTGCAATGAAACCCCTTTGAGATTAATATAGCCAGCACCAATTATGTACTGCTGTGAATTATTTAACATGCTTCAGGGTGTTTAGCACTTAAGAGCTTCACATTTAAATATATGTTTACAGGGGGGGGAAATAAAGAGGGAAAGACAGTTATGGTAACCAACAGTCTGTAACTTCACCCTGCACCTCTATTCCCTCTCTGTACCACAGCAAACAATCCCATACAAGTATCCTGTAGTTTAATTAATGTCTGGGAAATGCCTGAGATGTTTGCAAGCTGCTATGGAAAATCCAACTCAATCTATGAATAATCTTTCTTTTCTAACCAGGTAAAACAAGAACAAAAGAAAAGTACCGGGTTGTTTACACAGATCACCAGAGACTGGAACTAGAGAAGGAATTTCACTGCAACAGATACATTACCATCAGGAGGAAGTCAGAACTCGCAGCAAACCTGGGACTCTCCGAAAGACAGGTACAGAGGTGTGCCCTCAGGTGTGCCCACAGTGCCCAGGCACTGCCAGGGACAGGGACAGAGAGCACCCCTCAGCTGTGTCCACAGTGCCCAGGGACAGAGAGCAACCCCCAGGTGTGCCCACAGTGCCCAGGCACTGCCACTGCCAGGGGACAGAGAGCACCCTCAGCTGTGCCCACAGTGCCCAGGCACTGCCACTGCCAGGGGACAGAGAGCACCCTCAGCTATGCCCACAGTGCCCAGGGACTGCCAGGGGACAGAGAGCACCCTCAGCTGTGCCTACAGTGCCCAGGCACTGCCAGGGGACAGAGAGCACCCTCAGCTGTGCCCACAGTGCCCAGGCACTGCCAGGGGACAGAGAGCACCCTCAGCTGTGCCCACAGTGCCCAGGCATTGCCACTGCCAGGGGACAGAGAGCACCCTCAGCTGTGCCTACAGTGCCCAGGGACTGCCAGGGGACAGAGAGCACCCTCAGCTGTGCCTACAGTGCCCAGGCACTGCCAGGGGACAGAGAGCACCCTCAGCTGTGCCCACAGTGCCCAGGCACTGCCAGGGGACAGAGAGCACCCTCAGCTGTGCCCACAGTGCCCAGGCATTGCCACTGCCAGGGGACAGAGAGCACCCTCAGCTATGCCCACAGTGCCCAGGGACTGCCAGGGGACAGAGAGCACCCTCAGCTGTGCCCACAGTGCCCAGGCATTGCCACTGCCAGGGGACAGAGAGCACCCTCAGCTATGCCCACAGTGCCCAGGGACTGCCAGGGGACAGAGAGCACCCTCAGCTGTGCCCACAGTGCCCAGGCATTGCCACTGCCAGGGGACAGAGAGCACCCTCAGCTATGCCCACAGTGCCCAGGGACTGCCAGGGGACAGAGAGCACCCTCAGCTGTGCCCACAGTGCCCAGGCATTGCCACTGCCAGGGAACAGAGAGCACCCTCAGCTATGCCTACAGTGCCCAGGCCCTGCCAGGGACAGGGATAGAGAGCACCCCTCAGGTGTGCCCACAGTGCCCAGGCACTGCCAGGGGACAGAGAGCACCCCTCAGCTGTGCCCACAGTGCCCAGGTACAGAGAGCACCCCTCAGGTGTGCCCACAGTGCCCAGGCACTGCCAGGGTACACAGCAGCAGCCACCTCCTGCCTCTCTGCATTTGACACAGATAATCCACTACACAGCCCCACAGTTAATTTGACAGAATTAATTTGACAGAACCCTCCAGTTATATGGAACTCAACACTAGGAGTTAACTCACACTTTTAAAAGTAGTTATTCTTACTGTCTAGCTTGATGCCAGCTGGAATTTAAACAGTTCAGCTTAACAGGTTTTAGCTATGGTCCCAAGAGTTACAACATTCAAATTTTATTTCTTCTTGAAATCACACCAAGTAATGGCCAGCAAAAAATCCAAAGCATTTGATATATTTCAGCTGGAAGACATGAAAGTTAAAACTCAATCCAATGAGATATCTATGAGTTTTTTTGTTACAAATATATTGCCACAATTTCCACAGGCCACATTCTTCCTCTGTCAGATTTCAGCATATTCAGGGGGTTTTACAGCCTTGGATTTTCAAGTCAGGATCTCTTGCCACTCGTGTGTAGCCAAGACTATCCATCCAAGTGCATACTTGGATTGTTGCTCCCTTGGAGAGCAGCTCTGCCTTCACTCCTGTCTAGTACATATTTAATGTCTGTCTTGGATAAAGCCAGGCTGCTGAGCAGGGCACAGGAGCCGTGTTAGCCGTGTTCATACAGACACCAGAGGAACTCAGGATGAGAATTCCCTAAAATCCCTGTGTGGGAGAGCACTTCTCTCAAGCACAGCTCTGCAGTGTGTGGAAATAGTAACTGCTGCATCCAAGCCTCCAGAATTGCAATGGTTCTGCTACAGCTGGAGGAGAAGGGCAGATTTGGTGATACTGAATTAGTCATCTCATTTAAAAACCAGATCATTGCCCTGAGGTAAATATTAACTAGAGATCTTTCTTCTTAGAATTTTACAAGCTTTTGTTCTTTCTAAATATACACATTCAGGTCTCTGAAAATGTTCCTCTTTCAGTGCTTTCTCTGATTCTGTACTCAGTCTGTGGAAAAGCATGGAATAGAGAGGGACCAATGGAGGCTGAAAGTATAGGAATGCAGAGACAATCAGTGGTGTTTTAGGATCAAACACTGGGATTTTATAAACATATTTTAGTGTCCAGACCCAAATAGTGCAGAGTGCACTGCACAGACTGTGAGTGCTCCCAGGCAGGAACAACAAAACCCAAGTTTATCATGGATGGGCTAAGTTTGTCACACAGTGGGACAGAGCTGCACTGGGAAATTTTCAGAGAACTGCAATTATGAGAGATTTGCAACCTCCACCTTAATGTTCTGCAAGCTGGCTGATTTAGAACACAGACATGCCTGGAGTCCCCAGTGAGCCTGCAGAAAATCAGCAGTTTCCTTTTACAGAGCTGCTGCTCCTAATGCCACCCCTTTTTACCTGGAAAATTCCTTCAAGTATAATAGAGACAAAATACATAACTGATCAGCATTTCCACAGGACAGACAAAGCTAAATGCTTCTTCATGCCAATACCAGCAGGGTAGTAAAAATAAATATAAATCACTGAGATTTTTAATACAAAGCAAGAGTACAACTTTCTATATTGTATTGTATTCAACACACCTTAAAGGCTGTAACAAATACTGTGAATTAAGAACACAGTTAGCAAGCAGGAAAACACAAACAGAAGTTTCTCCTCATTCACACTTTCACATAAGGAAAGAAAATAGAGATCCTTAAAGTAGATTTTTAAAAGGTAAGTTTTTCACCTGCACAATGAGCCTGGGAAATTGACTGGCTTTAAATAATGCTGATATATCTATTTACACACATAACAGTACATATGTATCTGCAAAATACATGTTTAAATATATATTCCAGTAATAAAAACAGTCAAAACTTCTAAATACATAAGAATATATATACACACAAAAATCACTCACAACCTAAATGAAGAAAAAGAACCCTCACTACTTGGCTTTGAATTAATCTGTAACATGGATAATAAAGAAATCTTCACAATTAATCCATAATTGCATCTTCCTAAATTATGATAGTGGCAAAGCTGAAATGATGAACTCTGTGGCCTGAGTCTTAATGAGTTCATTGATTTCTGTGTTCCTAAATATAACACAGTGTATTCACTTTACACCAAAGGCTCAAGAAAAAAAAAGAAATCAAAAAAGAAAAAAATCTATTTTCCATTGGTTATTATGCCAAAAATTAATACAGAATAATGCAAAAACTTTTCACTGCACAAATTCAGTATTTTGTTTGTGGAGGGTTTTTTGGTTTGGTTTTAACTTTGGGGCTTTTCTTCCTCATGGCTTTTTGTTTGTTTGCTTTGGGTTTTGGGTTTTTTAAATATTGTTTTTGAACCTACCTACATTTCCATTGCAATGATTACTGTAAAAAGTTGAGCAGCACTTTGAATTAATCAGGTATCATTTCTAATGCCCCAGGTGAAAATCTGGTTCCAGAATCGCCGAGCAAAAGAGAGAAAAATGATCAAGAAGAAAATCTCGCAGTTCGATGGCAGCGGGGGCTCAGCTCAGAGTGACTCTGGATCACTCAGCCCAAATGAACTGTCAAATTCTCTGTTCCCACCACCACATGCAATAAATGGATTACAGCCTAATGACATTCATCAAGTCATAGTTTCAGAATGAACAGAGGGAAAAAACCAAAACAGGAAAAAAAGGAAAAGCAAGAATGGATTTCTCCACCACTGCCACCCCTCACCTTGGAAACTCAACTTCCCAAGGGACCATTTTCATTTATCTGCCTTCAGAGTGCTGATTTCTCAGCAGGAAATCTGAGCCTATAACCAAAATATTTTAATTATTGCAAAAATCTCAGGGACTTTGTGCTGCTAAGATTCATCTCTCGGTATCTTTGCTAGCAGGTAATTTGCTTCAGACACTGACACAAAGAATGATCCAGCTGAAGATTCAGTACAGGTAGTTCTAGTCTGATCATCCATATCCACAGAAAACAAAGAGAACTGATTAGAAAATAGAGTCCTATTGCAGAAGGTATAACCATCCGGGTGTGATTGGTTTGTTCCATTTATATAATTAGAGGAAACTGTAGATGTTAATAAATATTTCCACTTAAATGGACTGAGAAGGATGCTACTTTTTGAAAACAGCAAAACCATTTAAACACTTTTAAATGCTCAAGGACCATAATAATGTTGCTATACCAACATACTGCATTTAATTAAATAACACAGATCATCTCTGTCCTGTGGAATTGTATTCAAGCAATAGTGAGATACAGAATATACCAAACCTGCCAAGATTTGTTCCACTGTAAAAAATGCAATTTCTCATGCGCATTAGGAAATGCCAGAAAATTTGGAAGACGAGTATTACCTCAATCTTCTAGGACTGCACATATTGCTCAAAAATCCAAGCACAAATTGAATGGAAACAGAACTGTTACTACAAGCAAACCACCAAAAAGCAAATAAAGAATTTGCTTGATGTCTTTAAAGATTGGAAGTGAAACAGGAACAGTCTCAGGCTACTTATTTTATCTCTGACACTTATCTGGGGCTGAAGACAACAACTCTCCCGAAGTAGCTGAGAGGGTGTTTTGAAGCTGTCACCTGCAGATGAAATGTTTAATGAAAAGAAATGTTCACTTCATGGGCACTCCCGAAAGAGCACAAATTAAGGAATGATCACAGTGGGATTTGCTTTAATTACTGCTCCATGTTGGCAGGTGAGAAGGTAGCAATGGTATCTGAGACAAGTGATGAGTCTGGCAAAAGCAGAAAGAAAAACCAAAGCACTAAAAAAATCCCCAAGCCCTTCAGTAGTACTGTTCTTTGGAATTTCTTAAGATGACCTTTTTACTAGTATAGAAGTAAACAGCTCTATTGGGAAGATTTAATATTCCTGAAAATGTCAAGGGGAGCAAAGGGAGAAGGGAGAAAAGCAGAACACAAACAGAAAACAGCATTATGAAAATCATGCACCACTTATTTCAGCAACATCAAACTCTTGCTCTCAGAAACAGCAGAATAAATTCTGCTTTTCTTTGTGTCAATGAGCATTGATAATGCACTGAACACCATGGACAGGACTTGTCAAAGCTCTCAGCATCTGGATTCAAAACACTAGACAGCAAATTTGAGGATATGCCTCATGATTCTTCATTTATTTTAAAACAACTCTGTTAGAGTAACTCCATGAAAGCAGTTCTGTTGGCAGTTACAAGAATAACACTCATCAGAACTAAATTCTGAATTTTATCTTTGTAGACATAAATGTCTCAAATTAAACTAGGAAGAAATGCTGTAACATAGATTAAGACCTGACTGTAAACATTTTGTGGGTGGTTCCCCAATATATTTTCTAGTCATCTCCTATCATATGGTTCAAAGAAATGGGTGTATTCTGATGCAAACAAAGTATAAACAGAAAATCTTGTGTACATAAATAATTATAAAACTCAGCCTGATGAGAAATTGAGCCTACATCTGCTTGGCTTTAACTCAGGATCTCCTAAATCTGCTCACTGATGTTCCAGTGGGATCACAGGGACATTACAGGAGCAAGAGCACACTGTGGAACGTGCACACACAGAACTGGTTCTGTTCACATCCACAGAAATGCACATGTGACACACACAAGCCTTTTTTCTATGTTCTTCAGTGAAATAAATCTGGATTTTTTTCCTTGGGAGAGAAGTTTCCCCTGTTCCATCAGCCTCTCTACCTGGGTTGCCCTTCTATACATGAAGGATGTAGAGGATAAAATAATGTCTCAGGAAACTCAGACTTTAGATATACAAGAAAAGAGGGAAGTGAACCTTTACCTCAAATCAGCAGACAGGCCATTTCTATGGAAACCAGGAGAGGGCTTTTGTGAGGCTTAGCAGTGGCACAGAAATGGAGAGAAAGAAAACTTGTAGTTTTCAGATTTTTTTCTCTGATCAGTTTTTATATCAACAAGGAGGAATGGCAAGTACAGCTATAACACACAGCACACCATTGATTATATTTGTGTATTAGAAATGCATTGCTTCAGATTTCCCTCCTCATTTATGCTGAAAATGAAATGAAACACAGATATTTACCAAGTTCACATTCAATATATTCAAATCATCACCCTGCAGACTCTAACCAAGCTCCAGGCAGTCATGAAACACCACCCTGGCCTGGCAAACTGCTCAGAGGAGCCACTGAAGCACTGACTGCACTCAGAACAAGCACAGCTAATACAGAATCACTCTAAATGAGCCCATTTTGGATGTTTTTAGAGTTGGAATGGGATACAAAGCACCTCCTCTGGCATGTTTAGTATCAGTCTTGTCAATAAAAACTGTTTCTCTTTTTCATGATCTTAATCCTGAATTTTATCCATCAGATGTGTTTTAAATGTATCCCAAGCATATCTTAATAAATATTTAGGGGAAAATCTCTTTCAGCTACTAGAAAATGATCTCTAAGCCTACAGAGTGGATCAGATTATCTTCTCTGACTACAGTTAAGTCAAGTAAGAAGTGATTCCCTTTATCTGTTGCTGTGCATAACTACCCCCATTATGGATCATAATGTCCTTTTCAACCTAAGTGCAGTGGCACAGCTGGTTCTCAAAATAATCTAAGGAAAAATTCTTAAACTCTTTAAGACTAATCAGGATGTTTTTTTGTAAACTCCATCAGAGAGTGATTAACTGCAGTCAGAGTATCAGCTCAGGAGAAGCCAGTGTCCTAGTTTAGGGCAAATTTTGGAGAAAACTTTTGTTTTGGGGGTTTTTTTAGAAAGCAAATCTAAGTGGTTCTTCTTTTAATTGGCTTGGGAAAAGATTTATTTGGGGAAAAGTGGAAAAACCCTGTTTATTTAATAGGTCAAGTATTTACTAGCATAAAAAATGAGCAATACAAAACAACCAAACTTCTTGCTGTTTTGAAGACATGACAAATGTGGAAAGTCTTTTTTGTGAGGTGCAGCTCAGCTCACTCAGTCTGTTATCAGTCCCTGTGCTGCTGGAATGCAGCATCTCAGGCACAGTGGGCTACACGTGTGAGCTTTTGGTGTTCTTCTGGGTTTTTAGTTTAGAGCAGGTTTGAACAGTTCTAAGAAAAAGAAAAACCACAGTTTGGGGAACTTCTCTGCCTTAGCTAGCAAAAAAACTCACTATAAAGCAAAGGAGAGCTCTCTCCTGCTGTCTGCTGCAGCCAACACAGTGTAGGAGAAGCATGCTGGGGAGCAAGTGCAGCTTCTGATAACAAACTCTGAGCTTCTTTCTCCCTTTGCACTCTGAACCAGTTTTAGAGGTGCAGAACTTCATATCTAGCATGAACAGACAGCTGGGGATGCAAGCATCATAAAGTCACCTCAGGACAGCCAGAGAGAGGGGGAAATGGCAAACAGCTCAAAGGAAATCCTTACCCTGCCTCTTGCAGGCTTTAGACACTTTATCAGGGTGCAGCTATGCCACGAGCCAGAAAACATCATCCCAAACCAAAATATAAATGGAGCACTTCATGGTGGCACACTTGAAAGGGCCATGAAGGACTCCAGGCCAGCCTGGCAGGAGCCCATCCCTGGCTATTACAACGACCTGAGGAGGTCTCCATGGTGAGAGAAGGACGAGAATCTTGTTTCTTGATCAGAAGGCTGGATTTATTGATATATGATATATAATACATTATAACTATACTAAAAAGAATAAGAAGAGAAGTTGCAGAGGCTTGCTAAGCTAAGAATAGAATAGAATAGAATCTAAAACAAAGTTCTGTGTCCAGGGAATCTTTTTTCAAGCATGCTTCTGTGATTGGCTCTTAATTGTACACATGGAACATGAACCAATCACAGGTGCATCCTACTGCATTCCACAGCAGCTGATAATCATTGTCTACATTCTTCTTCTGGGGCCTTTGCTTCCCAGAAGATGAACAAATCTGGAAGAAAAGGATTTCTGTGAAAAAATGTCTGCGACACCTGGCCATGCTCTGCATGGGAACACGAGATCAGGGTGTGCCCTTGGATGGAGGCACCACAGACAAAGTCCCTGCATTCCCCCATTTTCTGGGCAGCTGTGTTTGACTCTGCAGCATTGCTCCTGTGAAGGAGAAACCTCCGCAGATGTGATCAGCCCCTGTATTTAAATTTGTATTTACATGGATGAAACACTAAAGGATGTAAATAACATTTTTCAATATTTGTCTTTCTTCCTTTGAAGACTGCTCCAAGGACTTCAGTTATACTTTCCCTTAGCACTGTTAAGCAATTAAAATAATAATAAATCAAATGCCATCCTTTGCACCCAGTGGGTCTCTTCCCAAGCTCTCCAAGTTTCCTGTTTTCAGTGTGTGTAAATAGAAAACCATCAGTGTTTGAATTGAGCTCTGCAAGGTAGTGAGCCCATTTAACACCATGCTGATATCAAAAGAAAACTCTGCATCACACAACTGTCTGATTCCAGCAGGCAGCAAATCCCTTCTGACATTTATCTGAATCATCTCGATTCTTATGAGAATCCTGAGAGGTGCCAAAGCCTTGGCAGAACTGCCCTCCTCATCCCCCTGTCCAGAAATGCTTCACCACAAACTGCTCCTGCTGACACTCAGTGCAGCACCACAGGAAATTTGCTTTCGTAATTAACTTCTAAATATTGATCAGTGGGAGAAAACAAAGAAAAATACAGATGTGCCCTTAGTTACAGATAGCTTAGACTAGAAATGGGAAAGTAGCTCATTATAAGATATTTACAATATCAGTTTACAAAGACAGAATAATTTAAACCCCTAGCTGGCTGTTTGGAGTAGTCATCCTGGCCCAAAAAAAACCCAAAAAAAACCCCCAAAAACCAGGGTTCAGAAACTTGACAACCTCTTGAAACTGAGATGATTTTTGAAAATTTATCTACATCAGGCATTTTCAGTATAGGCAGCACAGAGCTGCAGACCCCTGCACAAAGCCAAAACCTTTCCAGACATTAGAACATATTTGTATCACAAAATCAGTTTTACTGAACCTCACACACAACTCTTGGCTTGCCTTTCTTCAACAAATGAATATACCCACATTTGCCTAAATTCCACATTTGTACTTCTGAACAAAATAATGGGAACTTGCAGTGAGATGCAAATCACCTTGGGATAGAGTTTGCATTAGTTAATCAGGGTTGGTTTGCATTAGTTAATGAGGGTTTGTCCACCAGACTTACAATACATTCTCCGAGAGTAATTCCTATTATCCAACAACCTCTTCCTGTCTGAAATGAAGGAATCTGAGAGCCAACCTGACATCACCTGTTGTATGTTCCGCCTCCTGAAGAATGCCTGTGTGGGGCTGATTTGGAAAGGACACTGGAAGAACACTCAGAATCTCTCAAGCCCACATTAATATTCCCTTTCCATGTGCTCCCAACAGCCTTTATTTAACACTGTGCTTTGGTTTAACTCCTGGATTTCTGCTCTTTGTGTTACATGCTCTATATAAGAACACTTCTGATTACAACAAAAGAAGTGATTTGTGTGGATAAACATTGCCAGAGACCATCATCCTTCACAAATCTCACAAATCTTTCTGCTTTTATGGCATAATAGTTTCATCAAATAAACAGCATTGTAAGGAAGCACTGAAAATGAAGCTTCTATTTCTTCCTTTGAAGCCATAAAGTTTGTAAGTCATGCTGAAAAAATTCCCTGTAGTATTTACTTCTCAAACCCAATACTAAACAGACATTCTTTAAATACAGACATGGGACACAAAAGGTGTTTTTCTAAAATAGTCAATGGTCATTGTTCCTAGGGGAGAGAACACATACACATAAAAAAAATCTACTGCAACTTCAGCTGAACTTTGACTCCAATCTATTATCTAAAAGCACAAGTTGTTAAATATGAAGCTGCTATAGCAAAGTACCTTTTCCAATTAAAACCACTTATTTTCTTGGTTTGTTAACACCTCAGACACTTATTACAAAGAGGTCACACAGGAAGTGATGCTTTATTTTACACTCAATTCAGCAAGTTATTGTACCACCTGCTTTGGAGCATAATGTCACATCACATGTGTCCTTCTGGCACAAGGTCCATTGAAATGTCTGTAACTTTGGTTTGTTTATTAAATCCAAGCCCAGCTTGCAGTAAATGGAGGTTTTTCAATTAAACACCACACTGGGCTGAATGTGTTCCTGTTTGCCACACCTCACCCTAACACCTGAGTGTCACCACTGTCATACTGAATGTGACAGCTGAACATCCTTGCAGACAAGTCCCTGGGATTTATTTCACTTTCCAGCACATATTCTGCTTGCCCCTTTCTCTTTCATCCTTGAGAAAATTTCAAAACATTTTTATTGGAAAAACACTGAACACATGCAAGCCCTGAAGTGTCCAAAGCCAGGATGGACAGGGCTTGGAGCAGCCTGGAGAGTGGAAGGTGTGACTAAAGCCCATGGCTTTAAGTCAGTCCCCTGTCAATCCAGCCCATTGTGTGGTTGGATGGCCTTTCCCACAGACAGGTCACCAGAGCAGCCATCTACCAAAACAATCTCAACTGGAAATTAAAGCCCACAATGTAAATGCACAGCATCAGAACTATCATTTCCTCCAGTGCTCTCAGTTACAAAACTCACCTTTTTGGTTTTCACACAACTTAAGGCAAACATCCAGAAATTAACTGACAGTAAAATAATAAACACCAGTGTCTTATTAATACCCCTATATATAACTTTATTTCAGTTGTTTCAACACTTTATTTTCATTGGTATGAATCTATATAAAGACGAAGATCATCAGAAAAAAATATCAGATCCTTAAGTACAGAACAATTTTCTCTTTTTCTATCATGTTTCTAAACAGATGCATTTTCAGTATTTGGTCAATTACTTACCTTCTCTGCAATTTACTGCAACGTTCAACACTAAATAAGAAAAAGGTATTTTGACAAAAATAGAACAAAATTTTGTTTTATAACAATTTGTCTCTTTTTTTTTTCCTCTAGCTTAGAATATTATTTACCTGCAGCTCCACATAAGATGGATAATGTGCTGAAGTAAGAACACGCAGCAGTGATAAAACTGTAGCTCATAAAATGTTACTTTTGGAGGCAACAAAAATTTTCACTGTCGAGTCATCTGCATTTTTCTGCAGTCTAGAAACTCCTGAAAAACAATAAAGATGATTCATGAGGGAAGTAGTTTCCTGGAAACGACAGACGGGGATACAGACCCATTTTTACCTCATGCAGGAGGAGGTGAGCTCATTCCTTAGAGTACCTGCAGGTCAGGAATGCTGATTTGTACACACACCAGAGCCAACACTTTGTAGGAGCTGTGCTAACACCAAGAAGGACCATGCCCCCTCATAATATAATTTTTCACTCTTCTATTGCAATTAGAAACACCAATAGTTTTTGGATTATTTTCCATTTGCAATAGGTGTGTAATTAAGTGTTTATTACCTCAATAATAGCTTACACCTGTGTGCTGATGGGGGCATTCCCCTGAAGTATTCTAAGAGATTTTTTTTTCCCCCAAGTTTTGCTGTTCCTATGTGGATTTTCTTCTCCTCTCACCACCCCATCACGCTGCACGTAACTCACATTTCAAACCCACCAACAAACCCCAAAACTCCGGGAAAACTCCACAACCCCCGCCCTCCCTCGTCTTCACCTCAGGCGCCCCGGGGAGCGACACAGCGGGCAAAAATAGGAGGGGAAATGCGGAAAGCACTACCTGGGTGTTTTTATTAAAACCGTCACAGAAACACACCTGGAAAAGAGGTTCAAATAAAGGAGGATCAGCAGCTGCCCCCGCCTTCCCTCAGGAGCCGCCCCTCACGCACCTGAGGGGCGGGAAAGGGCGCGAGCGCACCTGAGGGAGGCGCGCGGACGAGTTATAAATGCGGTAATAAGAGTACAGATATTCACTTGTACGCCGAAGGTTCAGGGATGATTTGATTTTTTTGTGGGTTTTTTTGGGGAAAAAATGAAAATCCAGTGAGGTTTTTTCCCGGCTTCCGCATAAGCAGCAAATTAAAACTCCCCTGAGGAGCGGCTCGCGCCGGCTCGTGACCCTCGCGCACCTGAGGGGCGGGAAGGGGGGCGCCGGGAAGGGAGGTGGGGGCAGTTATAAACTCTACTAACGAAAGTAGCGATATTCCGCTTCCGTGTGCACGGAAGGCTTAGAGCGAGTCTATGAAAACAAGTTAAAAGTTCAACGAGGTTATCCCGCCTTCGCTGTAACCACCAACGCTAACTCCTCTCTGCAGCTCCCCGTGCCGGCTCGTTACCCGCCGCCCGGGAGCGGCGAGGGGCGCGCACCGGAGCGGCCGCCTCCGGCCACAAGCCGCTCCCCACCGCCCCCGGAGCTCGCACAGGGGGTGACGCGGGGAGCCTGGCCCCGACCGCGGCACCGTGCGGCCCGGTACGGTACGCGGCACGCTCCCCTCAGTGCTCCCGCGGGGCCGCGCTGCGCATGCGCGCCGCCCTCCCGCCGCCGTGGCCGAGGCGCGGCCCCGCCCCCGGCGCGCGCTGCGCAGGCGCGGCGGGAGGGCCGGCGATGAGCGTCCTGCTGCCCAATATGGCGGACTTCGACACGATCTACGAGCTGGAGGAGGAGGACGAGGAGGAGCAGGATGAGCCCGAGCCCGTGGTGCGGAGCCAGGAGCTGCCCCGGCCCCGCGACGCGCCCGATCCCGTAGCGGTACGGGGCGCCGGGCACATCACCGTGTAAGGAAGGAGCGGGGGCAGCGTGAGGGGCCGGTGTGGCGGGGCGGTGGAGCCGGGCGGGAGCGCCGGGAGGGGTGAGGGCAGCGGCAGCTCCGTGCCCCGGCCCTGTCGGCCCCAGGCTCCCGCCCCGCGGGGCCGAGAGCCGCAGCCCTGCGCCCCTGTCCCCCGTCTGTGAGGGGAACTTGGTGAACGTGGGCATTTTCCGGTAGCTCGAGGGAACCCCCAGGCAGCCGTGAATGAACAGCCGGAGTTGGCTGTCGGTGCAGAGGCTGCAGCGCAGCCCTGGCAGCCCTCCCTGCTTGCTCCTCTTCATCCAAACAATTTGTGAGATAAAAAGCAAAGTCCACGCGATGCGAGGACGAACAGCCTGTTCAGACCATCTCGCTGTGACCCTTGCGTGCCACAGCTGAGCCAGGGAGCCCCCACACTGCACTGCAGAGGAGGCTCCTGCCCGTGCTCTACTTTATCTGCCCCGAACTTAGTTGAGAGTTTGGTTTAGATTGAGTGTTTTTATCACTGGAACACAGCGTGAGCCAGAATGTTTGCTGCTCATTTAAACAGTTGAACAGAAGATGAGCAAGCTGTGTTTCCTTATATGTTATGTTTACTCGTAGGGATTTTCTTAGTATTCCTGCTCCAGCAAGCTGAAGAATTAATAGAAGCAAGTGCATCCTTAACAAGTTGTTGGTTGTCATGTTAATTTTCACGGCAGGGAGGGAGGTATTGAAATTTATGTATTGTGCAGAGACCCACCGAGCTTGTGTTTGGATTGCATAAAATTGCCATTTCTCTCAGTAAATAGGTGCAGTGTGCTGTAAGGCCCTGCAGCAGAAGCTCTGGCTGGGGGAGGCTCTGCCATGCTGGGGATGTGGGGCTGGATCTGTGTCCTCAGGATTGCCTTGAGCTGGTGCCAGTGGGGAGTTGCTCTGCTGCACCGCAGTGCATTTGCTCGTGCAGATGGAATTTCTTTGTGTCCTCCCCCCAAAGAGCTGCTGGCCTGACTAAAGGAGAGGTGGAACACCAGCAAAGATGCTCAGAATACCAAGGACCCATCTTAGGAGCTACCTGATTTGAAGTGCTGAACTGGAAAAAAGCATTACACACTCATCTGCTTTGCTTTCTGTGATGCTTTTTGTGTGTTAGTGATGTTACTTACAGGTCCTTCTTGGCTCCAGCATTTTTTGGGATGGGCAGGAGCTTATCCAAGGACTAGGGATGTCTACATCACAAGAAGCACTCTTGTCAGTGAAGTGGAAATCCTTAGCTATGTGCCCCTGTTCCCATCCAACTTATTTTCCCTTTCTCCCACCCCTCTCAGTTTTCTTCCTGTAACAGGACCTACCTGCATGATAGGAGGCAGCTTTTATCAGCTCATGCTGTATTTTAAAATCTCCTTATACTCCTAAAAACAGTTCTTGGATGTTACCAATAAAATGCAAGTAAACCCTGGGCACTGGAGTGCATAATCCCAACCTCCTGTTAAATGGGAGCTGGTTTGCTTCCCAAGGAGTTTGTGTGTTGGAACTCTGTCACTTTTTGATCACACAGAGGCTGCTGCTTTTGAAATCAGCCTGCTCCAGTTACTGAAGGGAGAGACGTCATCCAGGAAAACCTGGGGTTGTTTGCTAATGAAAATATCTGTCCTGGCAGGTCAGACTTTATTAAAAAAAGAAAACCAGTTATCTTTATAAAGCCATTGTTTCCCTTGGATTTTTGTTTCAGATGTCTCCTGTTCCTCAGCTGACATTGGCCTTCTTGGATACTTTTGGTGTATAGAGAAGGGATAGTTCTCAAATTCCAGGGTCATCTGCTGCAGCTTTTCATGTCCAGTTCTCTTACAAAGCTCCCAAGTTGGTAGATTCAAACACTCAGTTTCCTGCAAGAGACTTTTTATTCTTATGACCTTGTCAGTGAGCTGCTTGCTCTGACAGAGTAACTATTCTGCAATATCCAGCAGTACTAAATGTAAATTCCAAGAGTTTTCTGAGGGTATTTGGCAAGATCTTGCTTTTCCCACTTTACTTTTGCTAGCCATTCTACCCCTATGTGTGGTGAGAGTGACCATGTAAAATGCATTTGTTTTATTTTAGTTAAAGAGGATGTGTGTAAAAATGGTTGGCAAAATCAATGTTCATCTTGTCCAGGATTCTTCGAAAAAATTCTGTCATATTTATTGGTTTTGAAAGCTTTTGAATTTTAGCACAGATAAATTACTAGGTCCTAATAAATGCCTTTTCTTCTGCAATTCCCTTTTGATGAGTTCTAACACCTTGTCTGCTGTTTCTGCCATAGTCAGTGTGGCTGCTTGGTGTATCCAAGGATCTGCACAGACATTTGTAGTGAGGACTGAGTCATGCCTAGCAAAGCAAAGGCAACAACTTCCAAAAACAGAGCAGTAAGCAAACTGGAACTTGCCTGTAGGGTTCTATTTATCTGCTATAATTTTTCCATATCATTAAGTCCATTTGGATGGATGGTAATGAAATAGCAATTAAACATATTTTTGCCATTAGGATCCAGCTTGCTGCTGAAGTCTGCAAAGTGGAAGTTAACTTTTGGTGTTGTATCCTGTTTTCTGTAGGAGTGCCCCAGGGACCCACAGGTGCTGATGAAAAGTTTATTTTCATCAGCTGGGGAAGAGAGGGAAGAGCCAGTTGAGATAACATTTGAGTATTATCTGGTATTGTTCCACCTTCCCCATATTTAAAACAGCAAATTACCTCAGCCTTCTGCTCATTACCAAAAACTTCATTTTCCAAAACATCATCTGTGGGTAAGGATTCTTGGATAGTTCTGTTGGCTCCACAGGAGAATGTTCTGAACTGGGAAATGTTAAATGTCCAAGGAGATTTCAGCTCAGGGCTCTTGAGGAATGTCATCTCTACCCTCTAATGTTGGCCAAAGCTCAGCTGAGAGCTCACAAAGAGCAGTGTGTGAGCTCCACTTTGCAGAGAGGTTCAACATGACCCGGATTAGGTGTGGGGAAGGGAGCTCTGCTCACAGGGGCTTGGAGAGCTTCTCTGAACAGGTTTGACTTGTGCAGTCCAGTAAGGCTGATTACTATCTATAAATACAGGAGTGGGAGAGCTGAGAATGAGGTGAGGTTTAAGTCAAACTAAAAAGGCAAAGCACCTTGAAATATTTCTCTTGTAAATGTAAGAAAGTATTTCCAAACTCTTCCTGTTTCAGTTCTGGGGACAGAAAACCTGAGCTCCTGCTTTGTAAACTGATAAACATTATCTTGTGTACCTGTTGCAGGTGGGGTTTGCAACTGGTGGTTCAAGATGTTCATTTCAGCCTTTACTGAGGGATTGATGCATTTCTCTTATTATAGCTCCCTAGGACAAGTTGTGTTCTCACCTCTCTGCAGATGGGGGAAATGAGGTGATGGGATTTGCCTGGTGCCATCCATGAAAACAGGGAAGGAGGGCCAGAAGTGGCAAGTGAGGTCATCCTGGTTCTGCTGCAGCCTCCAGGAAACAGTGCCTGGCTCTGGGAGGTGCTTGTCATGCAGTGAGGGAAGTGCAACAGAGAACGTGGGTGACTGATCTGAATTGCTGAATGTTACACTTTGGGCAGCTTGCACTGAGGAGTCACAGAACTGGCCCAGAAATAAATCACCACCAGCTGCTGCTCTGAGTGACTTAAGGGACAGCTACTGGAATTGATGTTATTGTCATTTTAAATATTCTGCATTTTAGAAGATTTCACAGATTTCAAAGATTTCATTTCCTGCTCATGCTAGATCACCAGTCTGTTGTAGGAAGTGTAATTAAGTTAATTACCTCTTGATCAATACTCTAGATTTTAACTTCTTTACATGGAAGGTTCTAATAACACTTCAGTACTTTCACAAAGTTGCCTGTAATGCTATATAACTGTGTAACATCTGCTTCAATCTTTTTATTTTATTTGGTTGTTGGGTCACCCCTCTGCCCCATCTAACAGGACTTTAATGTTTCTAAGCCCTGTAGTAAATAATCACAGAATAGTCTGTAAAACTTCCAGAGATATTTCAGTAAAACTCTACTAAAGGCCATCAGTGATTCTGACTAAATAAAGTGTTTAAATTATAGTTAAAATATAAAGTTTTATTCTTTAGGCACTCACAGGTGTCAGTGGGAGAGATGCCATTCTGTAACTCAGGTTTCCTGGACGTGCTGCAGCTGAAGGGAGTTTTAATATGTGTCCCAACATCAGCTTTGAAATTTAACCCAAAACACATTGTGATCTTGCATTCCTAATCAGATTTATTAATCAGAAAGCACTAATTTATCTTGTTCTTTATGGAAATTGGGATGCAGTGGGAATTTTCATGAGTATATTTGATCAGAGAGATAAAAGACACTACCTATGGCTTAGGAAGTGTTTGAACTCTGGATTGTTGAAGGTCAGAGGAGGGTTCTGAGGAGCAGCTGGGACATCTTTGCTCTTTTTTTTTCATTTCTTTTGCTGTATCCTAAGCTCCTCCTGGCCACTGTAAGAATCAGTGTTGAGGACAAGATGGACCTGTGGCTGGTTTAGTGGAATTGCTCTGTTAGATGGGTAGAGTAAATAATTCTTGAGTTTTCCAGTAGTTCTTTTACTGTGTTGTCTGATTGCTCCTGCTTTGTGATCATTCCAGGTTGTTCCATTGCTGATGCACAGAAAAGTCTGGGTTCCTCAAAGCAAGTTTGGGAATGTGCTTTATAATTTTAGTCTTTTTTTTTAAGACTGGAAAGACTACTTCATTGCTCTCCAAGCTTCCTTAAAACTAAATATATAACATTACAAAACCTGGAAGATTTCAGCTTGAAAAGGTACAAAATGTGGAGGCTGACTTACCAAAGTACAGAGAATGGAAATGTGCTGTGTTAGTAACCTTTGTGCTTGCCTAAAATCTTACGGGTTTTACTCTTTGGGGTTTTTTGTAATGTTTTACACAAATATTGCTCTTTACAAGAGGCTCTAACTTAAATTATTCATCAAAGGACTGGATTGAACTTCACCAGTGTTGTTGGCAAACATTTCAGTCACTGAATTTCTAGAGCCAGCACAAGTTCTTCTGCTCTGCCTCTCTCTTCATTAAGGTTGATGTGATTTTTTGTTACCTGGGAGCAATTTCAGTTCTCAATTTTGTGTATCTGGGGTATTACAGAGCGCACAGGAGTGTGTGTGTGAGATCTGATGATGGGCACTGATGTCCTGGGAGGTTTGGGACCTTCAAGGTCCTTCCAACCCAAACCATCCCACAAGTCTGTGATATTTCAGCAATACTGGTATTGTCTGGGACCAGTTTGGAGTATGGCAGGTGTCAGTTTGACTCAAAGCAAAGTTTGTTTCTTCAATAACTCCAAATGTATTTATGCTCTTCTTTTTGGCAGTGATTCTTTCAGGTATTTTGGTTTTTTTCAGCACATATACTCAGGAGATGGTTTAGCAGAGCTGATTTGATGTACAATGTATTTAACTTTCTTCAAACATACAGATTGTAGCTGAGGGCCAGCTGCTGCTGTATTTTGTTAAATTACTGAATTTTAAAGGTTCAGGAGTTTTGAATAAGTGGTAACAGGTTTACAAGCCAAATCCAGCTCCCTGGAGCTTTCACTGGTTATAAGGAAAACCTTTTGCTCAAACCCCAAAACACTTCAGTGAAAAATAGTCACAGTGGTACCCAAAACTTAATTTTCTTGAATTTCGCAGTTGTTGTAAAAGTCTCCTTTGTGTAGGCTCTTATGAGGTACCTTAACTCAGCCCAAAGGAAGCTTTTAAAACCACATAGTTAAAAATTTCTAGGATGATGATGAATGGGTTCTTTAAAACAAACTTCATCTGTTGCATGTGGAACAACTGCATGTGTAAGAAAGTAAAAGGGTTGTTGAACCTGGGATCTCATAGCTGGAGGGTTTTTTCTTACAGAAATCAAAGATTGAAACTTGCTGCCATCTAATTGGGACAGGATTTTTGCATTCTGGAGATACTGAAGTAAGGAGAGCTGTGTTTGTGTCTGAAATGGCTGAATGTACAGAGACCTTTGTTAACTGAGATCAAAGCCCGTGAAATAATGCAAATGTAAGGGCAAAAAACATTAACAGTGGCTTCTTTTTAAAGTAAAACCTCTTATTATATTTTTTTTATTAAGGGAAACAAAGTAAGTTAGGTGGAATATATTTTGTTTGTCTCTTTTGTTTTCAAGGTTTGGCTTGAGCAACAAGTTTGATACAGAATTTCCTTCTGTTCTGACAGGGAAGGTAAGTGTGAGATTAAACTGTTCTTTTCAATGGGAGGAGCCAGTGCATCCAGTGGTTTCTGTGTTGGATCCCTGAGCATGAACCAACTCAAAACTGTTCCCTGTGGCCTGTGTGACCCAGCTGCTCACTGCCCACCCTCAGTGCAGCTGGAAACAAGGAGGATTTGCAGTGATTGTTATCATTATTGACATTCCAAACGCAGCAAAGCTCGCCATGGATCCCACTGTTTCCATGCAGACATGAAAGCAGCACTCACTTCACCTTGCTTTTGAAATACCTGGAGTTTGTGCTCCCTCCTGGCTGAATTAAATCTCTACAAACACTAGACCTCTCTTTTGAGTATGCCTGACAAGCCTTGGGTTTGTTTAGACAAAGCTCTGGAAGTGAATCGGTTTTAGCTGAAACTGTACAGAACAAAACATAGTGTTAAATCTACAAATTAAGGAGGTTTTTAGTACATTTTCACAATTACCATTTAGTTCTGAAAATTAGTGGTGACAAGTCTCTTGCTTTTTCTGGAGTCCTGTCATCTTACTTAATGCAAGTGTAAGAAACAGTAATTTGTAGCTATTAATTCAATCTTAGCTAATTTCTTAGTTAGTTTTAAGTTATTTTTGTAATTATATTTTTTAATCTTTTAATTGCTTAATTCTTTTTCTCTTGAATTTTTTCCTTCCTGCTGTTTCACTCTCTAGTGCTTTGTTTTTGCTTTGATTTATATCCCTCTTGTCTATCTTTTCCAGAATTTGGGAAGAAAAAAACTTTATTTGGCTCTTTCTACTTTGTCTCATGTCATCCCATAGAGCTGCACTCCCTCTGCAGCCCCTTGCAGAGGTTGAGTCATCCCAACAATCACCAAATGCAGCTGAGTGGCTGCTCCTGCTCCTGCCAGATCCAGCTGGGCTTTCTCCTCCTGCATTTTCACCCCAGAGCCCAGGGAATAAAACCCTTGTGCTGAGGCTGCCCAGCTGCTCTGCCAGCAGCACCCCTGAACAGCAGGTTCTGCTTGGAGTTTTGGGTGCTGAAAATCATCCTGGGACTTTTTGGATCTCACTGAGCTCAGAAAGACAAATCCTGCTGATTCCAGTGTGAGGGCTGCTGGCAGCACTTAGATTTCACCACCTTGTCTGAGGCTTACTCTTTTCTGATCACTGAACAGCCACAATACATTTTGGAAAAAACAATTTTGATGTTCTTTTGCTCAAGTTGTAGTTTGTTATAAATAAGCTTGTGGAAAATGCCAGGCAAGAAACATTAAAACTAAATTTAATGATATAATTTCATCTCTTTCTGTCTCTCTAATATATTGTCTACACTTTTTAATACCAGCATCAGTGGCTGTCACATTTTCCACTTGACTGTCCTCCTGTTGTTAAATAGACAGTGAACAAAAGCTTAATTTAAAGTTCACTTGAGTGCTTGGACTTAATTTAGCAAAGACAGAAAAGAGGAAATTCTTCTGTTGGCATTTACCCTTCTTGTCCTGGGTGTAGTCAGTGCTGCAGGAGTGGCATGGGCAGGGATTTGCTGATGCTCCTCTGCTGAGAATCTTGGTATTCTGTTGTCTTGTGGATTTGAGGGGCTTTCTGAGCAAGGAAATGAATTCCCTTTTGTCAGGGGAGAGCACCAATCTAACAAGATAGTAAACACATTTCTCTTCCTGCCTGCCACCACTGCCATGAAAGACATTAAAAACCACAGTTGTGGGTCTTTCAGTTTGTATTATTGCAAGAAATAAAGAATCTGCTTCCTCCTCTGGCTGAGGCAGTCAATCATCTTAATCTCTATTGGAAATGAAAATTCAGTCATTTTTTCAGTAAGTTTTTCTTCAAATACCCTGTTCAATAATTACAATAATGACAATCAGTGTCATACTCAACTGAGACCCTACATTAACATTCTTTGTGGTTAAAATGTAATTTTTTTTGCTTTTTATGAAATCAAAATTTATGAATAACAGTGACTGTTAATATTTACAAATTGGGATTAAAATGTTTACTCTGAACTTGCATTGGTTCTCAGCTCCTCTAAGACAATGCCATAGTTATTCATATTGCCTGTGTAACATTAAGCTGAATGGCTTTGTGAATTGATATTAATAATAAATCCCATCTGCTAATGGGGTGTAAGAGATGAAGCCATTAGATGGGCTTGATGGAGTTCTCAGTGGTGCTGCTTTTCTTGGAATAAATACAGATGTAAAAGATGTAGGTTTGTAAAGCAGGATGAAAATCCTAATTAGAGAAAACTCTGCAGCTACACCTTTCTCCCAGAAGCACAGACTTTTGGGATTTATGCCACATTCTTGTGTCAGTAATTTCCTTAAGCTTCCTGCCCTCAGCCCATCCACATCATGATGGCAGCAAACCTGATTATTTTCTTTTTCTGAAATCTGGAATCCCCCTCATTCACCCATTTTCCCACAGCAAACCTTATGATTTTGTTTTTCTGCAATCTGGAATCCCCCTCATTCCCCCATTTTCCCATCTCCCAGTTTTTCCAGAGCCTGCATAGCTGCTGTAGGTTAGCCTAGAGCTATATGCCTGTAATTACATCTTCAATGTTTAATTGAGACTTCATTTGTTGCTTTCCTTGGGAGAGGTGGATGTGTACATTTGAGGGTAAAGCACAGACAATAAAATAATAAAGGAAAGGAAAATCCCAGGTGCATCAGATGTTTGGTGTGGCTAATTCAGCTGGATTAATATTTGTCTTGCAGGATGAGACACAAACTCACCTGGTTTGTAAATCCCAAGCCAGGCTTCTTTTCAGAGGAACATTATAAGAAAAGATTTGACTACACTTAATGCAGAGGCAATATTTAACTTTTAATAATGTAATTGGACCTTGGCCTAAATTGGAATGCTGGTTAAATTTAAATTCTGTGTGCTGCAGGTTTACAGGATTATTAATTCTCTTAAAAAGCTTTTACCAAAATATTCTCTGTGATGTGGAGCACAATAGCACCCACTGCTCCAGGTGACCAGAAAGTGATGGAGGCAGTGATCCTGAAGGGGAAAAGTGGAATTTCCTGCTCTGATCTTGAAACAAAAGGGTCCTGCCCAGAGAGGAGTGTGCAGGGCAGGGGGAGCCATAAACTGAGGGCTGGGCATTGTGCTGTGTGATTGATAGGGCTGATGATGATGATGATTGAAGGAGGAAGATCAGGCCTGCTGGGCCTTGCTGCCTCCCTTCCTGTGTTTGGAGATCCTCTGCATCCTGTTGTAAAATATTATGACACCCCCTCCTTTCCTTTTATGTTTTGTTTTGTTTTTTTCCCTCCTCAAAGGAGCTGATGTCCCTTCCCAAGGTGTACAGCACAGCCAGGAGCAAAGTGCTTATCTCATTCTTTTCAAGAGCCAGACACAAACTCTCCTAGAGATTTCCAGAATTCCTCACAACTGAGCTTTCTTAGGGAGCTCTTTGTGCAGGAGGAGCTGTTGATTCTGTTAATTGAAATACATCAGCCCCTTCACAGACACCTTTCAAAAGCTGTACCTGCAAGAAGGCAGGAGTTAAAATTGTGTCAGAAAATCAACAGTTCTGTGCTGACTTTCATTTGGATTCCATTTCATTATTAGATTAGAACAGTTATTTACAGGTATTTTGTTCTTAATCACTGTGTAACAATGCTTAACTGTCACTGAGCTGTAAACTGAGCAACAAAATTGTGATTTCTTCTGTTTATCACAACATGAGGCTTATCTTGCTGTCCAGTTCCTTTAGTTTGAGATGAAGATGTGTCACTAGTGACAGAAATATTTGTTGTGATTCCATTTCCTAAAGGCAGAAACAATCCAATAGTTGGGGTTAGTCAAAGGCATCTTAAATAATTTCATTTTATGTTGTAGCCAAATGATTCAGCTTTACATGAAAACATTTGGTGAGTTAGCAGGTAGTGCTGCTTTCATAATGCTATATTAAGGTAAAATCAGACCAAAACTCCTGAAATGGGAATTTTCTGTTGCTTAGTGGCATCCAGAGTTGGTTTCTGGTTTAGCCATTTGCTCTGCAGGAATGAGAGTACTTCAACTTTCATCTTAAAATGTGAACAGTGAGTCCCTAAAAATTATCACAGGAATAGGGAATCTCCCTGGGCTTTCTTCTTAGGTCCCAATTTCTTCTGCCAGCTGTGATCTGAGAATCTGGTTGAGTTCTCTTCATGTTGGATGTTATCACTGATAAGGGTTATTCTTGTTAAACTGAATTCTGGGCTGTGCCATTCCATTGTCTTTGGCAAGTTTGTTCAGCTGCATTTGGAGGCTGGGCTGTGTTGTTGTCAAGGTCCAGTAAACTTTGTGTCTGAAGGAAAAGGAAACATTCTCTTTTCTTAGGAAGTCTCATTACAAAAGTATGAATGGGTTCTAGGAAAAAAAAACCTGCTTATTTTTATATTTCACATCAACAGAATATAAAATTCTAAAAGACCTATCAAAGGAAGTGCCATTTGTAGATACCTAAATATGAGGCCCATGGAAACTTCCTTAGGAGTAGAGAATGCCAGTTAATGGAGGAATCTCAGTTTACTTTGAGGCAGTGACTGCAGCAGCTGCCTGAGGTTACTGCAAACCACCAGCCCAGATGTTGTTTCCTACAAAACACTCTCCCACGTTGAAGATGAAATGGTTTTGCTCTTGTGCATCTGGTATTTGTTATATCCCAGTACAAGATCTGGCACTGGCAAAGAAATCCATAAAACTTTGTTCCAGAGACATGCAAGTACAGGATACTTTGCCACATTACAATGGGATTTTTTTCATTGCAGATGTCCCAGTACAAAGGATCTCAGGGGGTTTCTTTGACCATTTTCTTTTATTTTTTTTCCCTAAACTGCCTCTTGTAAAACAGACAATTTTTTTTGGTTGCTTCGTTTGTAGATGCAAAGCAAAACAGTCTATTTAATGTGGGAGGGGGACAAAATAATTACTTTCTATGTATTTATTAATTCCTGCTGTAAAATAATCACAGATTAAGTTCTCTTGTTTTTAACTGTAGGCCTGGCTGGTGTGCAAGGCCAGCTGCCCCCTGACTCTGTAGTGCCTGGTGACCTGAATGGCCAGGAAACAGATGTTGTATTTATTTACTCCCTTCCCTGCAATGCTTTAAAGAATTCAGCTCAAAAGGCAGAGCAGCAGCATCAGGTCCTCTCCATTTCCTGCCCTGTGGCTTTGCCCCTGCTGAAAAGGATCTTTGTCATTAAATGAACTTTTGTTGGTGTTGCTGCCCTTGTTTGCAGAGCCAGATGAGCAGAGCTGGGCTGCCCTGGGTGGGGGTTGTGGGGCACAGCTTTGTGTGCAGGCTCACACTGGGGATTTGCATGCACATGGCAGGGAGGTAGGAAAAATGGGGTTTTAATTGTCCTGAGTTGTGCCTGCCTGGTCAGGTCTCATTGGTCCTGGTTTGTTCTGCTTTGTGTATTTGATGCTGGACAGCATTAGAGTCAAGGGTGTCATCTTGGAGTCACTGCCTCCAATCCATGTTTGGCTTGTCAGATGGAGTGACTTGGGTTCTGTAGGGAGGTGAGGGATTTGGGGTGAGAAATGTGAGTTATTGGAGAAAAGAGTAGGTGAGAAAGGCAGTTATTGGGGAAAAGAGCTTCTTTCTGATACAAAATGTGTAATTCCACTGTGACTCTGCAGTGGCAACACAGGTATAAAATTCTAATTCTTGAATTTCAAAAAGTTTTTGAAATTCAGGAATAAGTATTTTATACCTGTATTGGTATATACTTATACCTAATACTAGGTATAAAATTAGTATTTTATACCTAGTATTAGGTATAAGTGTACCTAGTATTAGATATTAGTATTTTATACCTAGTTTTCAGTAAGGTTTTATTCCTAACCCTGTACAAGGTGCATTGCTCTGCCTCCAATACAATCCAGTGAATTCCTTTCTAGATTCCCTATTTTAGGAAGCAGCCATGAGGGAAGTTGTGGCTTCATTTTGGGCCACTTCAGGAAGTGATTTGTGGACAGAGCCTTCACCCAGGCCCAGTGTAGACTTACATTAGTGTGACACTAATTTGGACAATCTTCTCCCTTTCTGTGGTACCTGGTTTTGCTCCAGTGCTCCCACACTCCCTTGGAAAGCAGACATCTGTCATTGTTCCATGGTTTTGCTCAGTGTAGCCAGTGCATGTACTGCCCAGCTGTGTCCCAGTTCTGATTTTATCTGGGCCCATTGTGTTTTCAGGCCCATTTATTAATTTCTGGTGCAATAAATACAGATGAGCTGCTCATCTAAAAGATGTTTGACTTTTGAACTCAGATTTGTGCAGTGCACACACCAGAAATGAACTTGTGGCAGGAAAATGACTTCTCATGCTCACTGGGTGACCAGTGCTTTAGAAGATTGTGTCATTTCCTTTTCATTTGAACCTGTAGAGGCAATTTGTGAGAAAATTCACCTGTGCTGCTCTCCCTGAAGCTGAGCCCTCTGTTGCAGGTGGCCCCTGAGGAATTCAAGACCAGCATCAGCCGAGTGAACGCCTGCCTGAGGAAGAACCTCCCTGTCAATGTGAAGTGGCTGCTCTGTGGCTGCCTGTGCTGCTGCTGCACCCTGGGCTGCAGCCTCTGGCCTGTGGTCTGTCTTAACAAAAGAGTGAGTCCATCTTTCATCACATCCTATGGATTTTTAAATTATTGGTAGGGTTAAGTAACTTTTCATAATATCTTCCCCATTTTAAAACCCACATTCAAAAGGTTATTCTGGTTTCCATCTTCGAAAATAGAAAAAAATTGAAATTACACCAAATTACCAGTTTTAAGAATAGCTGATCTCCTCTCAGTTCAAACAGAATGGAATATATGATACTCTAAATTTCCAGGATTTTTCAAGGTCTGAGAATTGAGTGTAGAACTGAACCTTCATGACCATCAAAGATTGTCAGAATAAGACTGAAAAATCACTTCTCTTCACATCCCCCATCCCCACTCCCTCCACCCCCCAATTAAATATTTTTCAAATTTAAAAATCACTTTTTTTGTATGCAATAGGCACCATAACATTTCAGAGCTGTGCTTTATTTGCTGTATTTTACTGTTCTGTTTCTGTTAGGAACAAGAACAGATTTATTTTCTAGACTTCCCCCCTAACAGAGTTGACCACTCCTGCAATCAGACCCAAAGTAATAACTTTGGAAAGCACTTTAGTCAATTACCTCAGTGGTTTGTGTTTAGAATTGATTTATCACAGCAGTAAATATTGGAAATGCATTAATGTGGTAACTTATTGAAGTGCTCATCACTGAAGCTGCATCACTAAAAAGTTACAGGAGTTGTTTTAGTTCATTTTAACTGCTTTTATAAACTTAATTATTGCAGAGGTTTATGCCTGAGAGATACAAAAGGAGTATTTGCAGTTTTAAAGCCATTTTTAATATCCCTGTACCAATGAAAATCTAAATAAATGCCCATTAATTATGTGAAATTCTCAAGGCTGCAGAGAGTATGCCACAGGTAGGGGAAATGATGGCACTTCTGTGGGGGTGTGAGGGTGATAACAACCATGCAGTGATTAAAATTAAATGTATACCATGCAGGATCATGCCAGCTGTCTTTGTGTGACCTTCAAAATCACTGAAACTTGAGAAATTATCTCCTCTCCACAGTCATGGAAAGAGCAGGACATGAAGGACACATTTGGTAGCCAAGAGTTGAAAATAATTTGTTGTGAACTGGAGTTTGGTGGTAGGAGTTTCTTCCAAGATCCAGATCACAATTCCCTTAGCAAAATCTGGAAATTAAATGTATGGAAATGTGTGTTTTCAGCAGAACACCTGCAGTGAGTGCAGGATTTGGCCAGGAGACTCTGTTCTGTTGGCTGTGGGAGGTAAAACCACCAAATTCAAAAGGATCTCTTACTAACTGAATGAACTCTGGAAAAGCCACAGGCCTAAGTTGCACTTGATCTTAGAAATTTTTCCAGTGATTCCAAGTTAACAAAAAACCCATGAGTGTTTTCCTTTTTTGAAAAAAGGGGAGTGGGAGTGAAGTGATAAGATTTCCATGTATTTCTTCTTTGGCTTGTTCTACTTTTATAAAACTTAACTTACTATGAATTCACCTTAGCCAGAAATGCAGCAGTGAGATCCTGCTGGATGAGAGCATCTGCTGAACCATTTCTGATCCACTTCTGACTTCCTTTCTAGACTAGAAGATCAATTCAGAAGTTATTAGAATGGGAAAATAACAGACTATATCATAAGGTAAGAAAAGAGTGCTTGATTTTTTCAGCTTTAAGGATATTAGCAATGAAGGATGTTACAATCTTGTCATAATTCCTTACTTTATCCTGTAAAGATATAGATCCTAATAAATAATAAATAGATAGTTAATAGATGCTGATAATTCAGTATTGCTAATGCTTGTTGCATTACCCATCCAAACAAGGCTGTGCTAATCCTTTGTTAATTATTTCCTTAGCTTGGTTTGCACTGGAAGCTGAGTAAAAGGAAATGTGAAACTAGCAATATGATGGAATATGTGAGTATTGCTTGTTATTTATTGCTAGTCAACAGAACTATGATTTGATAGAGAAAATCCTTTACTTAGTGGTCACCTTGTGCAGAAAGATCTCCCAGTCAAATGTGCAGTTTGTCTGTAATTTGAAATGAGGGAGACCCACTGGGACTTTCTGCATTGGAGTGATTCCCACACCAGCACCAGTCCATAGCTCCTTAACACCTATCCTCCTTTTCCAGTGGTGTTCATAACCCCTTTAATTCAAATAATTTTGCAGAAATATTGCATCTTTATAGAAATGTGGGTTTTTGGTTGGACCTTTTCTTTTTTATTTTTGCTTTTGGTTTGTTTTGGTGGGGTATTTTTTGCCAGCTCTAAATTTCACATGGTTGTAAACAAGACAGACCTTGTAGAAAAGCAGAATTTCAAATATTTCTGTGGTTCTACCACTCCCCTATCCCCTTTAACATGTGAAGATTGTGTAGGCTTTAGGAAAGAGATCCACCCCAAAAAAAGCCAAGCACCCAGAATCCCTCTATTTCAGAATGACTGCAATCTCTGCTTTGTTACCCTGGGGAACATTCCCTCCTCACTGACTATCTCAGATATATTTAGTCTTATGAATTAGCAAATGTCATGCAAATTGTGCTGAAGCTTTGAACTTTTTGGTTACTGTCTTCTGTTCTTGTCTTTTTCCCTTCTTCAACAGGTAATATTAATAGAGTTCTTACCAAAATACCCCATATTTCGACCTGACTGAGGAACAACATTGGTCTTTCATGTTACCTGTCATTTTCTACCCTTAGTGCCTTGTAGATGATTTTGGAAAGAAGATGGTCTACTTTGCTGTGACTTAAAAATGTTCTTCAGTAGAACTCTTCCTTGCTGTTACTTTCTTTTGTTAAGAAGAGAACAATTTGCACATTTTTTTATGTTAAACGAGGCTTCTATGTTGCACTCTGAATTTTTAACATTACCAATAACTGATAGAGTTGCCACTAGGGATCTTAACATCAGTGCTGCTTAAACTTGTTCTGAGCATGCTGCCTTATTAATTTCTCTCTTTGCTGTCCTCCAATGTGCATCCTAAAGCTGTGTCATCCTATATTTCATCCTAAGTGTTGCAATCCTAGAAACCCTCAGTAGGAATGTCCAGGTAAACTCCAGTAGTAATGATTTTAGTAGAACCTGCTTGCATAGGACTTGCATTCAACAGCACTGGTTTTGTCCTGCACTTTGCAAAATCATCATTTACATTTAGGGGGTTCTTTAGTTTACCCACTATGGATTTGTAAATATTGACTCTTTGCATAATGTAAAGTGTGGTATGCCAAGGTTTACAGAATGTATTATAGCTCTTATTCTATTGCCAACATCCCCAGCATCTGTTCCACGTGCTCGTTCCCCTGGGATTGTACAGCCCCACCCACACTGCTTTTATGGGAAAGCCATAAAGAGTTTGTACATATGTCAGATGTGTAGGGCTCAGTTGCACTTTGTTTAGTAAATGGATGAAAAATGCATAGCATTTCTGTCTTTATTTTGAAAAGTATTTCAGCTGGTGTTTGCAGCACCTGAAATACAAAGCTGAAATCTTCACCTCTGCAGAAGCTGCATTTGTGGGGTAGATGGCAGCTGTTGTTAACAAAATACCCTAAAGTCTCTTTTGAAGCGAGGAATATATGGATGTTAAGTTCTATTTTGTTTTGAAGTCAGGAAAAATTAGCCTCAAATCGGGGATCTTTGTTCCAGAAGAGAAAAATCAGAAACAGCCAAATCCAAGCTGAAGCAGCACCTTTGTTACTGGGGTGGTTGCACTTCAGCATTTTCACAGTTTAGTGACATGAAGTCCCTTCCAGTGGAAAGAGGTTTTATCTCAGTCAAAGTGGAGATTCCAAACATGCTGAGGGGAGCAAGTGCAGCAGTTGAAGGGGCTTCTGAATATGTTTTGGCAGTCAGGCACTGTCTGGAGAGCCAGGAGAGCCTTGTGGAATTCAGTATTATTTTGGATTCTTCCCTGTTTGCCTGATCTCAGGAAGGGAAGTCATTGTAGAAAAACTTCCTCTAATGGCTGATCTAAGCAAGAGCACTTGATAAAAGAAAGCAAATGGAAATTGTTGCAAGTTCCTTGCCTTTCCTAACTAGAAATAACAAAGCCCAGCAGATAACTGAGAATCTGCAAGTTGTGGTGGATTTCATTATCAGTGTCCAGGCATTTCTTTGCAGCATCTTGACTCCCTGCAACATCATCCCAAGTTGCTTTTTAGTTTCAGGGTGACTTGGGGTTTCCTCTGAATGTATTTGCATCTCTCCAGTTTGCAATATGCTATTAAAATACAGTATTTGTCAGACCATTACATCCTAATACCTGTAGTAGGTCAGATTCCTTGTACACAGTGTTTACAGAAGGCCAGTTTTATGCAAGTTGTTACTCAAAGGGAAGTTTGTGCTCTTTCCTGTCCCAGACTGATGGTTCAGAGTTTGAAATCTGCACATTTCATGCAGAAACTTTGTTTGACTGGTAGATTGGTGACAACTAAATGTGTAATTGCATTTCTAACATGAATAAAAACCTCCTGTGTTGTTTGAAATTATCATTAGCTACACCTTGCAACTGAGATTTCCATTGCAGAACCAAGCAAAGTGTTGTCTCCAATTTATTTCTGTTTTTTGGGGATGAGTGTTAACTGGAAGCAGAGAAAATAATGGCAGAAAAGGCAGAGTAAACCAAAACTGAAATGGCACACTCAGTTCTTTCTTTGGATTTCACTGACAAATGAGTTTCTGGAGTAATTAACAGAATAATGGAAGTTCCTTACTGTTCTGCCAGAACTTTGTTGTGCAAAATACTCAAGAAATCTCAGCAGGTTCTGATTTTCTTCTTCATGCAACTCTGTTTTCTCGTTGTACTTGCCCAAAGGGGAGAACAGGCACTTCCCATGGAACCACAGAATGGGTTGGGTGGAAGGGACCCCAAAGCTCCTCTCATTCCACCCCCTCCTTCCACCAGCCCAGGTTGCTCAGAGCTCCATCCAAACTGGCCTTGAACACTTAAGCACATGATATTAATTTGTAAAGTTTACATTTTAAATACATAAATCCTATACATTTTAATTTGTCCTTAATTATTACTTGTGCAGTCTTGAAACCATGAATGGGTCTTGTCTTTGTGTTTTAATTGACATTTAATTATGTGGCCATAACATAAAGAACCAGAGCCAAACCTGTCATTTACAGTAAGCTCCATGTTTTAATGAGTAGATAAATTTGCATTAAAATGCAAAACCAGCAGCAGTATTACATTTGCATGTGAAAGACACAGGATTCACAGCTCACTGGAAGGTGAGGGCAGCTGGCAGTACTGCTGTGAACTCTACACAGGTTCTTTTTGCTTGGCCTGGCCTTTAATGCCAAAACATCACAGGTAATTCTGTCTCCCAGGACTGGAAATCTCATTTTTGACAGTAAATGATCAGCATGAGTTGGTGAAGTGTTCATGGAGGGTATCTGTCAGAATTTGTAGCCATGTAACAGATGAAAGTCAGCAGAGTGAGTGGAAGTGGTAAAGAAAGTGCCTTGGCTGGTTCCAACACCATTGTGCAGAGAAGGAGAAAAGGGAATTCACTGGTCCCTCTCAGGAGTGGGAGTTTGCAGCAGATTTCTAAAAGCAGCTACTGTCTACCAAATCAGTGTTTATTTCTTCACATCAACATGTTGACACTAATTTTGTTCCTAGATTTTATCCAGGCAATCTTTGGGTTTGTATCTAGAAAGTTTAGGATCTGGAGAGTACTGAAGGAGTGCAGAACTCTGGCAGAGCATCAAAGCTCCTCCTCAGTGATTCCCCACCTGCCCAAAGGTGTTTTCCCAGAGGTGGAACACACAAGTGTTCAAACATGCACACCCAACTTTAGGGAGTGTGGGTTAGGTTGTAAATGGGTGACTTTTAAACAGAGAAAAAAATTTATTAAATCTGGTGTGGTTTTGATAAATACAAAAAAAAAGTTCCTAAGCTCTTCTTGATAGGTACAAAACTCCATATGCAAAACCATAAATTGATGTTTATTATTGTCCCACTGACAGTTTACTACATTTTCTTGTCAACACACTACCATTGGAGCAATAAAAATGTCCAGCTATTAACATTCACCATCAATTATTTATCACTTTAGTAAGCAATGTTAGTGATTCTTCTGCCATTCTTTTGTTTTCTGCTTTTGGTGTTCTTACAGTGTTGTAACATACTTGTATTGCTTCTGAAAAGTGGTTTTGTTTAAGCTGTATGAAACTGTGTTCTTAACACTTTTATTCTGTTTACAAGTGAACAGCCACTTTTTTAACAGGACCTCACGTCTGGAGAGTTTTCTCTCTATTTTTTATTTTAAATGAAAATAAAATTCTAACTGAGCTTGCTTTCTATAATTTACTGCACTGGCTTGTGCCATTGAAAGAAGCTGGAAGTCAGACATGCTTCATCACTTTGAGACATTTTTCTTTAATTAAATTCAGAGATGAAAACCTTGAGTAGTGCAATGTGTTTATGGAAAAAAAAACCTGAAATTTTCTGTGTCTTTCCCTGTAGAGGTGTTTTAGTGGGATGGCAGCAGTGCTGGTGTCTAAATGAGACACCTGACACAGCCAGGCCAGGGCCTTGGCTCATTCAAACAAGGCTTGGAAAGCACAGGAGGGATTTCCAAAGATGAGAACTGCAGAATGATCATCAATCTGATTTTCCTGGTGATCCACCTTCCTGCCAGGACAGTGGTGGAGTCCCCATCCCTGGAAGTGTTGGAAAATGTGGATGTGGCCCTGGAGGACGTGGTTTAGTGGTGACCAGGGTGGTGCTGCTGGTTGATGGTTGCACTGGTGATCTGCAAAGTCTTTGCCAGCTTTAACAATTCCATTATTTTCTGCTGGGCTCACAGACCCTCCCTGGTAAGGGAGGAAGGAATCTCTCCCTGCAGCATTCCCCTCCAAAAGCAGAGAGGTTTTCTCCCACCTGCCAGGGAGCCAGCCTGAGCAGGGACAGGGAGTGAGGGTGAACAGATCCTGGCTCCCAGAGGGGTTTGTGCCCAGCACAGCAGCCCTCTGTGTGTGTGAGCAGCCTGCCTTTGGAGCTGTGACAGCGGGACTGCAAACTAAAGCCTTTGGCTCATCCCTGAGGGGAAAGCACGCATTCCTGAAAGGGGCACGTGCAATGTTTGTGTTGGAAGTGGCTCTGGGCAAAGCCAGGGCTGCTGGAGCATGGAGCTGATCCTGGATGTTGGCTGAGAAAGTAGGGAATGTTTCTGGGGTGTTCAGCCAGAAGGAGGATGAGGGGCTGAGTCAGGAGTTAATCCCTGGGGGCTTTAGGAGATGTAATTGCCCAGACTGAGCAGCAAAGGCCTGTGCTGAGGATATTGGGGATTTGGCCCTGCCTCTGTGGAAGGCAGTCTCAGACCTGTTGGTGCAGCAGCTTGCTGTGCTGTCTGTGCCAGTGTATTTATAATGCTGTGTCTGTCATTACTTGAACTGTTCTAGCTGAGTTTATTTTTTTAGTGAAGCTTGGAGAGACTTCAACCCTTCATTTCTTAGACCAAATTAAATGTTTGCCTCCTCTCAAAAGCAGAGTTCTGTTTCTGTTCATCCTGCTTGCATTTATTTGAATTAATTTTCCTTGAATAGGAGTGACCAGGAACAATATTCCAGTAAGTGGCTCATGGCCAAGAAGGCACCAGGTATTTATTTCAGTGTTGATAGTTCCCTCTCTTGTGTGAAAAGAATGTGATCCATGAAATTTAAAGGGTCACATTTGTCTCCTTAGTGGCTGTATTGCATTTCTGATCCATGGCTGTTCTGTGATAAATCTGGGGCTGTTTCTCTTCAGCCACTTGTAGTTTATACAAGTTCCCTGCAGACACTCATCAGTCCAGACTCAGCATCTGACACTTTGTGCTGGTGAATCTCTCAATATTTCCATTACTGTGTCCTCCCAGCCCTCCAATTCTCCTTTTATTTGTGCTCCCGGTCTTCCTGTGAGAAGTGTTTGTCACAGGCTGATTCAGTCTGCAAAATTAACACAAATGAGTTTACTAAAAAGATTCGTTCCCAGATAGATGCCTGAATTTTGCTTATGATTTTCTAAATGCCCTTTTACTTACTTAGTCCCTGACCTGCTTTAAATATTTCTGTTATTTCTACATCTGACTGAATCAGTAATTTCCTTGTTGTGGTTTTTCTGGGAGATGGAATCTACCTGGACTTGGTTGATTTACATCTGGTTATTTTATAAACATGCAAACAGCGGATTTGGGTCTGGGCTAACCTGCTGAATTCTACATTTTCCCTAATCACTGAATGTGTTTAGGTAATGATCTTTCCAATATATTCACATTTTATTTCACAGTCTTTATGTTATCTATAGTAGCCTTCCTTGAGCAGTAAATTAAAATTTCTGCAGGAACTAGGTTTGTATTTTTGTATTCAGTGATAAATATAACCTGAGATTTTCGCTAGAAAAGAAACACTTTTTCACAACAGTGCAACATGGGATAGGTAATAAAATTGGAAAGAGGAATTACAGTAGCTCTCAGACTAATAAGAATTTAAAATTAAAAGGCAAATATTAATCAAAAGGTGATGACTGATGTGTATTTACTGTAAATTATATGGTGTGCAAGCCTGGAGGGGTAATTGAAAACTACATTCTACAATGATCTCCTTGGACATTTTTGACCGTGAAGTGTCTGAACAGAGCAGCAAAAGGAATTCTGGGTTTTGCTGTAAATGGAAAAGAGTGGAAAATGGAAAGGCACTGCTGAGGCCTGGTGGTGAGCAGCACTTTCCCACCTCTGCAGAGTTAACCTGTGTTCCTCAGTATAACCAGGGATCTCACTGGTATAACCAGGAGTCTCATCAGTTCCTGGTGATTTTTGGATGTCCCATTCCAGTTCCTACGGTGAGTATTCATTCAACATTCCCAGTGTAGGGTCCAGCAGGGCACAAGGAGCAGGAATGCGCCTCAGCCCCACCGGAACTGCAGGGGAACACTTTAATCTGGGATTTTTCTGCAGCTGTTTAGTGCATGGAAAAGGTAACTTGCTTCAGGATTCTCTATGGTTTTTGTGAGAATTAGTGCTGAAAATCAGCTTGCTCTAAGTTTCCCTGTGATGCTGATGGAGGTAAGGGCTCTGGGAGAGGGGAGGGGGATGCTCAGACAGGAGCTCCCCGGTGGAGCGGCAGAAGGAGCCTTAGGCGCTGCATCTCCAGGCGCTAAAGTTCAGCGTTCACCGAGGAGCTGCACGGCCGGACCTGGGAGGTGAAACCGCACCCAGACAGACCCGAGTGTGTCCGCAGCGGCTCGGGAGCCGGCAGCTGCGCTGACAGCCGTGACACCCAGCGGCGTTCAGTGCTTCCCGGTGCCTCCTCGGCAATCCTGCGGGACTCCTCCGTCCTTCCCGGGCAGCTCCGAGCGGGAGGCGCCACAGCAGCCGTTCGGGCTCTGCGTTCCTTTCCGCGCCGCCTCAGCGCGGCGAGACCCGCGGCGAGGGCCGAGAGCCCCCAATCCCCTCAGCGGAGCGCTCCGCGGGCAGGGCCGCGCTCTCCCACCGCGCATGCGCGCGTAGGGTTGGCGGGGCGGGCTTGGCGGGCGAGCGGCGCCGGGGCCCGGCGGGGCTCTGAGGGCGGCGGTAGGGCCCGGCGGGGCCGGCAGTGCGGCTCCGTGCGGCCGGCGGCACTAGGGCCCTGCGGGTCGCTCGGGCGGCTCTAGGGCCCGGCGGAGCACCGCGGGCGGCTCTAGGGCCCGGCAGCGCGGGGCGGGCGGCTC